TTTAATTTTAAAATATTGGATTTTTTTAATAAAAGCCAGGCGAGATATTTGCCAATTTGTAATTGTCATTTTTTTCCGCCAGAACTGTACATCTTTGAATATAATAATTGTTTCTTTTTCAGAAGAGAATTTTTCTATCTTTAGTATTATATCAAGTTTTAATGCTCAGAATGTGATATCTTTATGATATAACTTTAGACTATTTGCAATAATTTTATAATAATCTTGTAAACGTCTATATTTTAGTTCCTTAAAATAATGTCTAATCAAAACTAAATCATCATTCTTAATATATTTTGTTTTACCTTTTTTTTTACTAAATATTCAAAATATCTTATCTTCAAGTAAAAGACTAATAATCATATTTGTTTTTTCAAATCTAGTTCGCTTACTGACTAGTAAATTAAAAGGTCACTGAGGATATAAGTTAAGGTTATTAAATCTTTCTAGATTTTTATATTTATCAATATTGAGTACAAAGATCTTACATAGATCAAGTTTCTCTATTTTTATATTAGTATTTTATAAATAATCTTTTTTTAATAAGAGAATTTTTAATAAATGAATATAAATCACAATTATATAGAATTTTAATAAGATCTATACTTTACTCTTTACATATATTCTGCTTTTTTGATCTCTGATTTTTTATTGTGTTAAATCAATTTATTCTCACTCATAAAATATTGTATTCTAATAATAGTATTGGATATCTTAAAACTCAAATACCAGATGCAATTTTTCATTATATCTATCAAGCCTTAAACCATCTAAAAATTTTAATGTATATAGTAAAAATTTCTTACCTATGGTAACTATCACCTATAAATTTTATAAAAATGATATGATTTTAAAAATTTATAAATTAAAAATAAAATGATAATTTAAAAATTTAAACTGATAAAATTATAGAACAATGTATGCTTAACATTTTTATCAATTTTTTTTTTTTTTTAATATTACATAATTTTTAGAGTTATTATATTTGAGTTTAAGAATTTTTATATGATATATATAGACTCTTTGTAATAGAAAGGAAAGAAATAACCAAAAAAATTTTTTTGAGTTAATGTTAAATCTGAACTTATTTTATTAAAAAAATAATATTTAGCTTATAAAGCAAAAAAAATTTTTTCTGATAATTTTCTCTCTTTCTATTGCAAAGAACTCATATAATCAATAGATTATATTCCTTACTCATAGATTATAAATTAAATTAACTATTAAACTAGCTATCTGAATTGAATTTATATCATTCATTATTTATTTTGATTAGATTATAGTTTATAAAAAAATAAACTAACTTTTACAAGAATTTTTATAAACTTATTCAGTGCAGATATATTATTTGAAAAGATATTTAATGAAGTATTTATAATATTATTTACTATAGTTTTTGATTCTTTTTTGAAAAACTAAGGCTTTTCTTTTAAAACTTAAAAAAATAATAGAAGAAGTAATTATATGCTTTAAGAAGAAGTTATTAAGCAATTATAAATCTTTTAATATATTTACTAAACATATTTTATAAAAAAAACTATGTTAAAAAAATAGTTATAACTTCAGATTAAAATATATATATCATTAAATATTATTCTTATTTATTTAAGTAGATGAATGAAATAATTTCAGAAAATTAATTTTTTATTTTAAGTATAGTTATATATATAATTAAAATAGAGAAATATATAATCAATTATTTTTATAAAAATCCATATTAAGCAAAATTTTATTTATTATTTTTTTCAAAACAAATTACTTTTTAATTTAATTTTAGTAATATATATTTTATTTTATTTTTTTTTAGCTATATTTTTTTATGAATTTTAAGATGTTTGAATATTCTAATAGTACATATTACCTAATTAATAAATACATTTATTATAAAATAAAAATATATATATCATGCTTAAATATAATTATTTTAAGTAAAAATATTAATATTAATATTTCTAATTATAATCAATAATAATTATATAGCGATTAATATTAGTTAATTAAAGATTTTAATTAGATATTTGTCTAACTTATTTTATTAACTATATAATTAATTAATTTATCTATTAAATATAATAAAAAAAAATTGTAATATTATATTTTTAAAAATATTTTATTAGAAAAATAAATAATTTAATTTTTATTAATTTTTTAAATTTTAACTGTTAAATTAATTAATTATAATTAATTTAATAAAATTATTTATTATTACTAGATTAAGTATTAAAATATTTTATTTAATTTAATGTATTAATTAAATATTCAATCATAATTTATCAAATTAAAATAATATATAAAACTTAAAAGTAAATATCTAATATATCTATGTATGGAAGTTTGCTTGGAAAATCAGGCTCCGAGAACTTTTTTGACTAAATTAAGACCTTATTACCATATTCCAATACCGGAAAGGTAGAATCATTTCCTAAGATGATGAAGATGACGATTTTTGAAGATCAATTCCGCCACTACTATTCAAAAAAACTCAAAATTTTAAAAAAAAATTTCAGGTTCTTGCTCATTCTCCATCTGTTCGATTGATACTTAAGAGAATGGCAATGGAAAAAGAATCGCCTTAATTGCTTTTACTGTGGAGATTACATGCTTTCAATGCATGCCTAAACCTTCTCAATTTACAAATTTTAAAGGGTAGTACAAAAGATTTGTATCATATACCCATTCATAAATGATTTATCGTGTAACCTATAATTCAAATATTGTTAACGAAATTGCCTAGTTGCTTCAACAGGACCTTAGGTAAGCTCTCCCGGATGAAACTTGTCAATTTTACTTGCGAGATTTTTTCAGGTATTGGCACATTGAAATGAACTCTCTGGAATGTGATAAAGACTAAAAGCCTATTCGAAGTGATTCCATCATGAAAAATGCCTCGAAAGCAAATCACGGTTGGTTTTTTATTTTTTAAAAAATTAAAAAAAAATTACCTTTCTCTTTAGGCAGGAGAATTTCCGCTCAACACTGTTATCTAATAATAAACGGTAAAATTTTTTTGAATAAAATAAAAAATTCATAGGCAGTTGTCCGATTCTTCGCTAAATTAATACAAATAGTATGAACTATAAACAGGTGAAATTAAACAAGATTTAAATATTTTAATTGCTCGCGAGCTAATTTATAGTCTTTAGATAAAGCAACATTCGTAACTTATCAATTTAAAGTTATATCCGTCGCCCTTTGTAATTCTTCCGCCGGCTTATGGATTCGGTTTTGGAAAATTTTGATGAACATCATCACCTTGTTAACAAAGATACGAGCTGCTGGGTTTGAAGCTTAAGTTTCTAAATGGTTCTCTGTTCTAAAGAACTTTACTTCTTTGAATATAAAATTTCTTCTAAAAGAATTTTAACTCGTCCGTCGAAGCTTGAGAAGGTAAGTAATTTCTCATAATCCCTCCGATTAGAACTGCACAACAACCTTTTAAAGAAATGTCTTATTAACTTTTCCATTTTATCATATTCGGATTTTCAACTAGTGTATACGGTTGCTACGGTTGCTTCTGACTCAACTTGATAATAAAAATCGTGTCGTGAATTCGTCGTATGCCAAGAAGAGCTATCGTAGAGACGATTTAATATTTTATTTTATATGGAAAGAATTCCACAGATCATTTTCAACAATATGCTATCTATTTAATCTGCTATACATACAGGAAGATTGGCCGCTGTTATGAATAAGAATTCCAAAGTATGCATCGCGATGGAAAGAAACAAACGTAGATATGTTATCGAGAATGCAAATCTTTAGATGGAATGCTCAGCAAAATATTATAGGTCTCAACGGAATCAATATGTAGGAAATCAGGTTCGATTTTATTAGATTAAAATACAATAATATTCAAATATTTCTCAGAACCCATTTTTGTGATGGAGAAATAAGTATGTTTACGTAAGGGCAATAACCATTCGTTGTCATATTTATACATTTTATAAACTAATAACTTACTCTACCTAATCAACTAAAAAGATCTTAAAAAAAAAATGGATAATGTTCGATATGATCAGTTCTTAATGATAAAGGAAGAACACCCGAATGATAACATACAAGTACGTACAGAAAACGTCGGAAAGGGTGTCAAACACACCGCAATAACTCCATGCTTCGGTGCGTTGCAGGCTTTGGAACTCTTTCCGAATGATCCTATTTTCTTTACAATATTGAGCCTTAGAAGAAACTTTCACATAAAACGAGTAGAGGATATCAATTATGCCCCTTCCCTTTTACCATGTACTTGTTCTAGTTGACCTCATCGAAAATTCCTATTTAAGTTTACGGATTTTTTTCACACTCTTTATTTGGAATAAGTATGTTTACAAACGAAAATTCTAGAAATCGTTATTACTACGCGGGAATACAAACATTATATCATCGTTCTTCCGATATTCCAAATCACATTTCGATTTGAAACAAACTTAACTTTGTCCCAAATCACGATTTTAACACATTATCTAAAATCGCAACTTGAGAAATACCAAATTGCGATTTGGAACATTATTCCAAATCATATTATCATTTTAAATTCTGACATAATAGGTAATTCTTTTTTTTGCAAATACAGCCAGCACAAAGAGTCTTTTATGAAATATTTTGTTAGACCTATCAAAAGTCGATGATTTTGGATATCCCAAATTACAATTTGAAATTATATCTCGAATTTTGAATGTGTCAAGTTACGATTTGAAATAACGCGATTTGGGACAATGTTAAGTTTAGAACATATAAATATAATGTAAAAAAATAGAAATTGTTATCGATTTCTCAATACAAAAGTTTATATATTCTATGGGCGCAGTAACGAATTTTAATTTTATATTGGATATCGGGATTTCAAAGCTATAACGGCACCCTTCTTTTTTTCGGTTGAATAAAAGGTATAAAAAATAAATACGACTCCTCCCATAAATAAAAGGTTTTGTAGAATTTTTCACATTGCAGAACGCCGGCCGAGGTATAATAATTAATAAAGCAAAAAATCCAGTTTCTCTATCTTCGTCATTGACCTTCTTTTCTATAAAATTTTATATTCCATTTTTATTCCCGACATATTTTCAGCGTAACGATAGCGAAGTAATATCGCCAATATATTCATTATACACCAATGCTGTATAAACAACCAAAATTTGTGATCAACAATTTACATGAAATAAATCTTGAACGGTTTTTTGTTAGATTATATACGTGCCAAGATTTCTCGAAACCAAAAAGTATTTGGTAATAAAGTCTCATACCTAATGGAACCAGCATAAAGAGTTTTCTCTTATTTCCAGTTCATATGGAACTCGTTGTTGTATGTTGGAAAATATTGATCAGACGGTAGTCCTCGATGATGAATGCGTCATCTATGAACAAATTTACAAGAACAGAATGTCTCAAGTTTTTTTATATCCATTGATTTTATATTACTGAAATCATCAATCTACTTAAGGATTTAATGCATAATAATGAATATGAATCCAGCGACAGTGCTTGTAAATTTTGTTAAAATTTATCTTGCTGGGAGAGATCTATCTCGACATCCAACCTGTACAATTCCGACAAAAGTTTTGAATGTATGGCATCATAATTTTTTCCAAGATGGAAATGTTTACACGAATGTAAAAACAGATAACATAAATATGAGTGACGATGCAAAAAGATAGCTAATCAATAAACACCCATACCACAACGCGCTCTTAATCAAATCCTTAAGTTGTTGTTTTATGAAGCGCATTACGCAATTATCTAGTAAAATCATGTTAATTATAAAGGAATGTAAATATCAACAAGGAGAAAAAAAAATATTTTTCTTCTTTTATTTTTTTTATTTACAAGAAATTTAGCAAGTATATAATATAATTAGATGATGCTTAGTATTGTATGATCTACACATCGGATACCATCAAAACTTTCTGTGATAACGTAATCACGCGGAATTTTTCAGGTTATATTTATCCTCAAGTATTCAAACACGAAATTCGAAGATTGAAAATTATCGATCTACCCCAAAAATTATGATTTCCGAGGTGGTCAAATTGAAGTAATTTCAAATATAATGATAATTGAACCTTGGATATAAAAATTTATAACTCGATTATATATTATTTATTATTTATTGATACACAACAAGTACAGTTGACATATTCGAATTTCTTTACCATATTCGAATTTGGTTTGGATATTCGACATTTTATCAAAAAATTTTTATTTTTTCAAAAATTTACTTAACGGAGATTCAAATATACCGATTTTTTCGAACGGTGGCCCAAAAAATAATTCGTTTAGAAAAAATTTAAATCGTTGGCGATTTTCATGAAAAAAAATGAAAACATTGACTGTAACGCATTTACGAAATCATAAGTTTTACTATATTTTAGACCATAACGATAACGATTTTTAAATTTTTTTTTTTTATTTAATACCTTAATAGTAAAAAATCATATACATATATCATAAAATAAACTAATATAATACAATTGGTTGGTCTTATTGTAGTTCAATTAGCTATTGAATTAATTATTCAAATCTAAAATTCCCAATAACACCCAGTTTCTTATATTTTTCAATTATTCTCATATTCTTTTCATTGTTCTCTAAACTATTTACACGGAAACTTTTGATAACAATTAAAGAAAGTGATTTCTTGGGTATACGTTCATCCCAATTCATAAGGAAATTCTCCAAATCTTCTGGAAGCAATTCCGAGTCCTCCTCATTATAAAATTTTAACTTATGAAAACTTTTTGGTGAGTATTTTGCGATGGTATCCAATACCTGCTTTTCACTTAGATAATCTTCACCACACAAGAATTTAATACATTCTAATCGTTGACAATTTTTCAAAATCGACGTTAGAGTTTCCACTTCATTATCAATGAATATCGTGAAGAGCGATTTAAGGTTTGGACAAAATTTTGCGATAGCACAATTTAATGAGTAACTTTCATCATTTACATGGAATTCTTTTAAATTCATTCCATTAATCTCTAAAAATTTATTCAGGTATTCGAATTTTGGACATTCATACTTAAATTTTAAACTTTGCAAGTGTGGAAATCGAACATGTTGTAACTCATTGAAATCTTCAAGAGATTCCTCCGATTCAATTGAAAAGACAATTTCTTGTAAGTTTCTGAAAGCAGAAATGAATGAAATTGATACATAATTCTCTCCATATAATGCCAACTTGGTCAAGCTGGTAGAAAGGTTTACCATTGAGGGTATGATGGATGACCAATCCACCCCATGATAAGATTGTAATAATTTTAATTGTTTCAAATTTTTTTGTGATGAGATTAAATCCGCCAGACCGTCGGAGATGGTCTCCTTGAATGAGATCGACATCAATTCTATGTTATGGCAGATTTGTGATAACTGATAGAAAACTTCAAAGTAAATATTCGAGTCAAACTTAAATTCTGAAAGGTTCTTTAAACAATTCTTTGCCCCAGGAAAGTAGGTGAACGTGATATTCTGAACTTTTGTAATATATCCTAACTTATAATCCAAAGACCTTAATGATGTAATTTGTTTCATGAACATTTTGAATAACTCTTGGGTTACCAAATATTTACTATACTTAAAAGATTGTGAAGGCATAGGTCGATTGATGAGGACCTTTTCAACCATTGAACCGATTTCATGAATCGAAAGATCTTTACAAAACGAAGCGTAATTCATCATTGGTTTCCAAGGAGGTATGACAATACCGATACTTTTATATAGCAATTCTTTTGATTCGTCAGGAAGACATGAAACCAAGGTGTTGATAATTGAAAGTTCCACTTTATACGGATTATGATGATCGAAAGGGTAATTCCAAACGTTTCTCCATAAGATCTTTACAGAAGCCCTACACCAGAGTCGATTGACCAGCAGGCAAGAATGTAAAGCAACCTTATCATCCTCTAAATACTCCAAAATTTCATAAAGACAGTCGTCGGTAAACGGATAAGACATCTTTTCTTCTTTTTTTAGTTAATTGATCCGATATTTTTGATATTTTTCAAGTTTAAAATACAAAAAGTGAAGAAATTTGTGCAACGTTGTGTCACAAAGACATGAATGAGGGTTATTGTCAACTGACACACTATATATATAAAAATATTTGTAGTTTACCAATGGGTAAAATGAAATTTTTATTTTGCTTTCACTTAATGCATCAACGATATGCATAGAAAGAAAATTTAAACCAAAAAAAAAAAAATAAAAAAAAAAAAAAAAAAAGAGGAATAAACAAAACCTGTATGAGAATTCATTTTTTTATAGGATTATTTTTTTTTTCAAGCAACTATGTTAATTTCCGTAATCTTTATTTTTATTTGTCTAATCTTGAAACAAAGAACGATTGATTATGGCTGATTGCGTGATCGTCGGTTAACCAATGAATCGAACACTTTACACGACTCAAACATTCATTATATTTTCGTTATTATCTATAGATTAAATTGCTTAATCGGTGAGATCTTTGATGATCATTATTTATGTTAAATCAGCACAATGTACTCAAACTTACATCATTAATATTAATACAAAATGTTGCTTTAAAGGTAGATTGTTGAAACGAAAATAGCATTGATCAATCAATTTACATGAAGTCACCCCTCGCGTACAGAAGGGGTTTAGCCAAGGTTTACACAACATTTCATTGTATGCTACATTCGTTGACCATTTTTTAAATATATGCAAACTCGTGATGATGATTTGCGCTGTTCGTAATACGGCATTCTTCAATCTTGGCATCCCGACTTCAGAAAAAGATTAGGGTCTCTGAATTTCCGTGTGGCTTTTTATTTTTTTGGGTAATAAAAAAGAAAAAAGAAAAGGTTTGAGACCTTTACGTTTTATCATTTTTAGAACTACCGTTTAATTAAACCCTATTTGGCACCGAGTAATCGCACTTTGGGAGAAGTTACCGCGTAACACTAAATATACTTTTAAAACGCCAGCCCTGACTCTACTATATATAATAAGGTGACCATCACTAAAAAATAAAATAAAATAAAAATAAAATAAAAAAAAATTATCTCCATTTCCATAATGTCAAAACGGGGGCATCTTGAGAACATGATAAGTCACTGAAAAGCTTTGCTATCTTACTTGATAAAATTAATAATAAAATAAATAAATTATAAATACATTTTTTGTTTCTTTATTCAATTTTTAAATTAGTATTTGCTCTTTGAATAGGTGATCTTCCTCGATTTCCTCGATTTAATGAAACACCACCGTTTCAATGTAAATCGAAATGATGATCCAATTTATTTTTCAAAAAGTAGTGTTGTGAAGTAAATATTTATTCAAAACAAATTGCTTTTAATTTATCTGAAACACACGTTTCATTTTCTACCCAATATAATTCCTCAAGTTTAATAAATATGATGTGATTCGTTTGATGCGATGCAAAGTTCAAAATTTCTACTCAAAGTCCAAGGTGATACAGATCTTGCTGACAGATATAACTTGATTGTCATCCTGAGAAATTACCCAAAATATTCGCACGATCGTTCGTTAACCTTGACCAAGGGTCTGTATTTTCTACTTCTACTCCCTTGTTAGGTTTATTTTCCGAGAATGATAATAGAAAAATGGATACATTTTACCAAAGTTTACCCTATGTTCAGTTAGACATAGACCGGTCACCCGGAATATGATTTTGATTTTTTTATTTTTATTATTTATTATAATTTTTTTTTTTTATTTTATATTATATTTTATTCCTAAATTTTTTTATTTTATTTTATTTCTAAACTTTTTATTTTATTTTATTTTATATTTTATTCCTTATTTTATTTTATTCTTATAAACCGTATATATTTTATACATTTTATTTACTTTACTTACTTATTTTATATTACAATGTAATGTAATTTGAAAATCATTTAATTAAAAATTCAACAACGAAAATTTTAATTCATCATTTATGTCTTAAAATGAAAAATTAATAAGCACCTTAATTAATATGTCGTCTTCCCAAAAACTGGACAAATTGAATTTTCAAATGGAGTTACATAAAAAATGGTCTTTATGAAAATGGTTCAGAACTCTTGATAATCAAAACGATCCCAATGGTCAATTTTTTTTAAAAAAAATAATCCTTGTCCCTGCTAAATATTCATGTGTTAAATTAAAACAAAAGAAGGGAACTGCTTTATTAGTTTTAGTTCACGCATGCCCATTATCAAAAGAAACGCCCCGTACGATAAACAATGTTTAATTATATTATACGAAACTGTGAAATCTTCACTCCTTATCAATTATGGTGGCGTAAATAAAGATAAAATAAAAATAAAAAAAGGAATTTTAAATGAATTTATGTTTGTTATTTATTTTTATGTAAACGTCATTATTGCACAGTGTAAAAAAATAAAATAATAATAATAAAATGTATTCAACAAGGTTTCCATTGGACATAAACCACGCGATTTAAGATGGATTATGACACTTTATTTTTTCATAACGAAAAAAAATTATTCAATAATTGTCCTTCGTTATTTTATCTCACATGGGGGTGACCAAATATCTTTTAGAAAGGACGGATAATAATTCTGCATTTGGGACAAAAAAAAAAAAATAAATTATTATTTTTTTTTTTTCATCTGTCATTTTTTCCCTGCACATCCTAACCGAATTTTGCATATTTGATATCGAAAAAAAAAAATTTTTGTGCAAAATTAAACCTGTATTTTTTTTTTTTTTTTTTTTTTTTGTCTTGATATTTATTATGTGATAATTATAAAGAAAGTATTTTATTCATTCCCACAAAATTTTAATATATAAAATTCCAAAAATTATAAAAAGAGAGACTGAAATGGAAAAACAGAGAGGGTGACATATTATATAGGGTTACGAGTAACCTCTCCTTGATCACGTGTGTACTACATAAATTCCAAGTAATCCCTGTTCTGTTAACTTAACTGCCGAGACGAATTTCAAAAGTGATGTTCGATAATTTGCCGTCAAGTGCGCGCGATAACGTCAACTTCCCACCATAACCAAGGTAATCGAGTTAAAATCCCATGCGCACCATCATTCTGCGGGATCCTTATATATCGATAGTGTAACAGAAGTAGAATAACTCGACATCTCTCTTCCCAACAGATTTTCCGCGTTGGTGATAAAATAAAGTCTTTATATGACGAGATAACCTCTTATCTAAAAGTATTTGGAGGGAAAATAATGTTTCCAAAGAATAGCTTACCTTTGTTTCTAACAGAAATGTAACGAATCAAGCAAACCTACTCGCTTCATGATGTGATTCCTTGGTAACATTTTATTTAAACGAGATGAGCTAATAGAATACCGAGGAATAAAAAAAGATCTGGATAACTGTGTTTTTTTTTTTTCAAATTCAAAATAAAAAAAAAAGTTCCAATAAAAAATTCTTTTTTTGACACAAAAAAAAAAAACAGAGTAAATTTCTTTTTAAAATTTAAATTGAATGTAAACAAATAGAACCGATAAGGAATGCAAATGTAATGGTTTGTTTATCATTTATTCTTTTTTTTTTTTTTGTTTTATCATTTGAAATCAAAAAAAATACACATTTGCATTGCATTATGCATAACAGATAAAGCATAAACTTTTAAGCTATATACCTAACAGTCAATTGACGATCAGTATGACGAATTCACCTCAATTCAAAAAAAAAAAAAAAAAAAAAAAAAAAAGGGAGCGATATTCTAACGAGAGGTACTATTTCTGACATTTCTCTAATTTTTTTTTTTTCTTTTTTTTTTTTTCAGTACCTGATGATCTATCTCTATTAAAAGATCAAAGTTAAATGAGATCACCATTCATCGTATTTTCATTCAACAATTCAAACACCAATCAAGTTATTCTAAATTCTAGAATATTTGTCGTACTGATATTTAAAATCATTCGATTTATAAAGTTAGCTTGTATTACTAATTTTTTGCCTGCATTCGTTTTTCTTGTTATTTTACTAGAAAATATTTTGATGTATGTAATATAATACATTAAAGTACCGACTTTAGAATAAAGAAAAAAAAAAATTAGAAAGAATATTGCCACGCATTTGTATATGTTACATTGTCGCGCTTACATTATCAATTAATATAATCCTAAGTATTAAACTTGATCAATAAAGCATTTGGATGTTTCCTTTAGCAATTCTTGGACTTGAGCCACTGCAAATAGCAAGTTTTTTCACGAGTAATATTTCTGATGCTTAAAGTAATACTCGAATCATGGATAAGTGAGTAATGAAGTTCTTAATGTACATATTCCAAAATCAACATATGGACCTTGAAAATCAATTTTACTTTTATATGCCAAATATGATTTTGAAGCCAAAATATGTTCAGATTTTAGCATTAACTCATTTTTTATTTTTCCCTCCTTTTCTATTGCAAAGGTCCCGTATATTCAGCAGCTTTCACGATCTTTATTTATTCTATCAAGCATTAAAATAATATTTTGAGGGATTACATTCTTACCCCATCAAAAGTTGGCAAAAAGTTCCATTATTAATTCCCTCCTATCTTACTATGAGCTCACGTAGCTGACATAATCTCTTTTTTAATATCGGACGACGAGAATTCTCTAAGGTTGTAAATTCTGATACTGCGTTCTTGAATTTCTGACACGCTTGGTTGAAGATGAAATGGGAAATGGGTTTCAGAGAAATCCACATTCCTCATTATCTCTACTCTATTTTCGCCATTTTCGCCATTTCCATTTGACTTTCCTTCACTTAAAAATCGTTCCTGGCAAGGCATCTTTTTTTTTCTCATATTTATATATCATCCAATAATTTGCTTTCCTAATTCAAATAAAACAAATTTCTAAATTTAGGTTTGTTTACGATGTACATGTACATGTGAAAAAACATGCATATATATATATATATTTATTTATGGAGGTATTTTCGGGTTTTGAATATCTTTCATAAAGGCAAAAATAAAATATCTAAAAATCGAATTTTTTTCACCATTTCGAAACAGTTCTTTTTTTACGTTTTGTTCAGCCAATATCATGATGCCGATGCAAAGGTCACGTTATTATATTAACGAACACTGCAGCCGATTTAAAAATGTATAAAAAAAGGAACTTCATTTACAAAAAAAAAAAAAAAAAAAAATCTCAAACCCTCTTTACTTTTTCCTTTTTTTTTTTAAAAAAAAAAAAATGTCCACCAAAATTTCCAAGGTTTTTTATGGAACGTTAATTCATTCCTTATCCCTTAAAAGTCTTGAAATTTTACAAAATACTTTGTTGGGAATAGATTGTTTTGGAAAGATAGCTTTCATAGAAAAAGATGTTTTGGAAGAAAAAATTTTAAATGAGATTATTGTTCAGTGGAAATTTCCTGAAGAAGAGGTTATTAGGTTGAGTAAGTGGCAATTTCTCATGCCAGGATTCATTGATACTCATACACATGCACCACAATATCCGAATGCAGGGACCGGTATGGATTTACCGCTTCTCGATTGGTTAAAAAGATATACTTTTCCACTTGAAAGATCTTATTCATCTCTATCATTTGCCAAGAAAATGTACCCTACCGTGGTAAGTCGTCTATTACGTAATGGAACGACAACGGCTGTTTACTTTGCAACTACTCATCTCGAATCAAGTAAATATTTAGCAAAATTAGTTAAACAAAATGGACAGAGAGGATTTGTTGGAAAAGTTAATATGGATTGTAATTCACCCAAAGATTATGTCGAAACGTTAGATGATAGTGTTAAATCTACTGAAGAATTTATTAATTATGTCCTAAATTTAGAAGAAGAAAAGGGCGAGTCAAAACTTGTTTATCCAATCATTACTCCAAGATTCGCCATTACTTGTACATCACAGCTAATGAGTTCAATTGGATCGTTGGCGAAAAAATATGACATACCAATTCAATCACATTTATCGGAAAATTTAGATGAAATCGAATTTATTTCTGAATTATTTCCTAATTTGCCAGATTATACAACAGTATATGATCATCATGGTTTATTAAATGGAAAGACGATCATGGCTCATGGTATACATTTGTCATCAAAAGAGCGAAAGTTGATTAAAGAACGCGATGTTGGTATATCACATTGTCCTAATTCGAATTTTGCCATCTGTTCGGGTTTATGTAATGTTAGACAATTGTTAAATGAAGGTATTAAGGTTGGTTTAGGTACCGATTTGAGTGCCGGTTATTCAAAATCTATTTTAAATGCTGTGAGGAATGCAAGCATCGCAAGTCGTGTTATATTTATGTCTCATTCGTCAAATGATAATGACAAATCCTTTCCGCACCTTACTTTACCCGAATTAACTTACTTGGCTACTATGGGTGGTGCTGAATTAGTTAACCTTGACAAGAAAATCGGAAACTTTCTAATTGGTAAAGAATTTGATGCTTTGTTAGTCGATCCTAATTGTAATAAATCTCCCTTGGACATTTTCGATGATTTTGATGATTTTGAAAGAATTTTTGAAAAGTTTATGTTTCTTGGTGATGAAAGAAATCTTAAATCTATTTATGTTAAAGGTAAAAAAGTTTCTGGAACCGATTTCGAAGAGGTGAATTTACATGACAAAGAATTATTAGAAAATTTGGGGGAATTAAATGGTGAAATCTGTTCGGTATGTAAAAAGTAAAGAAATAAAACTTCTACTATATTTAATAAATCTTTTAACATTCTCTAATAAGATCTCTAAGATTTCAATTGTAATATTTAATATATTAAATTATTCTATAAAATTAAATAATTAAAGGATTAGGGTCAATAATTAAATAACTACTTTTAAAAGAATCATGGTGAATTAATAATAGTATCCCATGAAACAATAACGATATTAAGAATTAAGGGAATTTAAAAAAATTCTATTTCTATATGAATTCTAATTTATGTTATTGATTATAAGGTTACGCTCATTCGATTTACTTTTAAATTTCAATCACTCGAGAAAAAAAATTAATGCACTTGTTCAAACTCCCACACCAAATTCCTTTATTTTATTCATTGCTATCGCGCGATTATCTCAAGTAGAGCAATCTCGTTGCATTTGATCACGTCGTCGCTTCCTGTGACTTCTCAATCGATGCTCAAGCTGAGCACGAGCGGCATTTAAAGCCTCTTGTGGGCTTAGATCCAGGAATTCGGTTCTCTTTTGTTGAACTAGTTTATTTCTTGGATTATCAAGTAAATTGTTTACTTCAGGATACTCGATCCTAAAGAATACAAATTCGTGAAATGATTTCTTATCGATTTTCAATGCTCAATTAAATAAATCACTTACGGGTCAAGTTTTTTTGCATGGTGGTTGTTAGCTCGGGAGTTAAATTGATTTGTCTTCAAGCCACGTGTTTTCTTGCCAACTCGGTACTTTGCGAACGGCTCAATGATATCTTTCTAAAACCATATAAATTTTTATCATCAGATAATTAATAAGGACATTTCGTAAAACAAGTCGTAGATCACCGAAGAAAGCTTTTTTTGAAAAATTACTGCAGCTGTTAACTCTGGCCCATCTGATATTCCAGTGGCGTATTTCTTGGAAAGATAAAAATCGATTAGCTCTTTCCATCCTTCGATGTAATTAGGTCCAAGGATTGATGGAATGTGTGGTCGATATCTAATGGATTTCGGCAGAGTTTTAATCTCTTATTAATAAGATAACGTTATTAGTAAATATATTGCAAACCTCCCCCCTTCGAAACAGAATATTATTCATTTTCACTTACTCAATTTCATCCTGGATCTCTCTTGCCTTGGTATGATTTCAGTTTCATCGGGAATATATAATCGAAGACGGAACTTTTGCCTGTATATTTATCATGTTTCATATTTATATACTTGATTAATATAATGTAGATAATTCGTATTAAATTTGTACCTCATGATACTTTATTGAAACTTTGGAAAGGAAAATTTTAAATAAAATACTCACCGTTCTTCAACTAAGTTGTGAGGTTTGTATGCACCAAAACCCACACCGAATGTGAGAACGAAATATATTCGTACTCTATTCATACTTCTCACAACTTTACGAAAGCTATTGGAGACATAAGTGTTGATACAGGCTGTGTTCGATTTGAGAATGCGTCTTCCGCAGACAGAAATGGCCTTTAAGAAATTCTTTACGGCAAATTGTAGGATTTCAATAGAAGTTGTACAAATCCTAACTACAAGTTGTAGGGCAAAAGCGACTACGTGGATTATTGTAACAAGAGCAATAAGAGACCAAAAAACTGGAGATATAAGCAATGCTAAAGTCAGAAGTAGTACCAGTACCAAAAGAAAATGTATAAGTGAAGCTTTTCCAGTGTTATAACCCATAATGTTTGATATGTTTTTTTTCGTAACCATTTTTTTGCTTTTGATCTGGAAAAAAAAAAAAATTTTTTTTTTAGATCAAAAAAAAAAACAACGGGTACAAAATTAAAAAAAAAAATTTCACGTGATGATCTTTTTTTTGTCAGTGTCAGAAATAAAAAATGTGCATTAATTAGTAATCATCAATCATCGAAAATAGAGTTTAGAACCGATATTTGGCATTCGAATTTAAATCCGGTTTCTTCCGATTCGAATTTACATTTTATCCGGATATAATAAATTCGGTTCCTTCGTTTCATTATTATATAATAAACCCAGTTCCTTTGTTTCATTCGAATATAAATTTAATTTATTTATTTTTATTATAATTAACTGATAATTTTTTTAATATACTGCGTTATATTTATACATTTTTTAAATAAAGTAGCAAAAAATTAAATTCGTAATTATAGAAATCTACAAGAAATTCAATTTTGGAAAATACTTCGCCATTAAGGACTATAAAACTTTTTTTTGCGAGATTATCGAAGTCCTACATTTAAGTATTTTAAAAAATATATAACTATTAGGAGATTTTATATTTAAGGCTATAAAAACCATTTTATTAAACTATATAAATGTTCATATACATAATGCTAAGAATTCCATTATTATATTAAACTAATTAGATTCTAAAGGAGGAAATATATTAAAATAACCACTATTACGTTTAAAAATAACATACGATTTACTAAATCTGGAGACAATCGTGTTCTTTTTGAAGAAATATGATTACCTGCATCAGAAAAGAGACGTTCACCAGGTACAGATGTAGCAAGAATTGAAAGATACTTTAGAGCTAATTTGGATAAAATAGGATAACTTGGAATATGATCCCGCCACCATACTAAAGGATCTGTAGTTTTTGATTCATTAGGACACAAAATCTCATTATTTTCTTTGCAAATATTATCATACTCTTCTTCAATCAAGATAGGTAATATTTCTTGAACCTCTTCTGGAAATGCTAAATTTTGTTTAAGTTGAATATATAAATCTTTTAAAAGATCTTCAGCTAATTTTTTTTGTTCTTCACGATCAGAATCTTCTGCAAATGGAAATTTTTTATTCTAGGATCTAATATTGTTGCAATTAAGGATAATTCTTTTGGTACATTCTATAACTCATCCAAAGAAAGATAAATAGCAGCGCAAACTTTTTAAGAAGATCTCTAGTATCTACCGGAGAAAGATATTCAATTTGATTTGTATTTTCAATTTCATTGTTTATTTTGTATAAGTTTTGTAAAATATGAACACAACCACAAACGCGATCACGTATATGATAAAAACTATAATTATATCTTCATCTATATTCTCAATCTTTTATATGTTCTCTAAATTTTGATAAATATATTGCTAATATTGTCAATTTCCAGCAGTTAGAATATTATCATCATTATTACTAATAAA